TCAAAGAAAATTTTGAGGCTAGATTTCCAAAAGCCCTGGCAAGTGACATTACGGCAGAGGAAAGACTAAGTCTTTGCATAGACCTCAGAGATGATATCCATCGTCTATGGACAAGCAATTCGAATTACTTTCGCGATGCTTCGCAGGCTATTGCTACCGCAAGCCGCAATGGTAATGCCTTCATTTGTCTCATGCGATATTCGACAAGGCTAACGCGCCCTTGGCAGAATCATGGAGAGCTGCGTTTGGACGGAGCCGCATTTTAGATTTTTACTCAAGTCTGTTGTCAACGCCGGGAGGTGAAAATGATCTTGTGGTCCTTGCCCTCAAAATCGTCAGCAATTCTTGTGCGGAGATGCCAGAAAACAGAATTCGAATATTCGAATGGCACTACGACATTGCACTGCTGAGGTTGCTGGAGAAGAAATCCTTGTGCGGCATAGTTATTGTTGTGATATACAACTTATGTTGCGAGTTTACTGGCTACGAGGAAGCCCGCAAGATATTAGCTAAACATGGCTTGGTCCAAGCTGTCTTGAAGGTGCTGCTGTCGGACTGGCTGAGTGACGAAGACTACCAGGAATATGCATACAATCTGCTCGATTATGGAAGTGCAATGGATATCAGTTCATCTCCTGATGATTCACTGAAATTGTTACTAGATCTGGCGGACAAACCAAACCAGACAAGGGACTCATATATCTCTCAAGTTAACGTCATCTGTGCCCATCTTGAGGATGACAGGTTCAAGAAAGCATGCATTGAGCAAGATCTATTCTCAAGAGCTTTGGACTTGCTTCCCAAGAGTCACCGTTTCCCTCCGGCCTCAAGCGATCCCGAGGAAGCGAAAAGGCTAGCCAACGCTAGATTAGTGCTGAATCAGGTCTTCTCAGATATCTCCGATCAGTCTGATTTTGTTACAACTTACCCTCTTGGATCGCCTGTCTCCCAAAAATTGATTTCATGGCTGGGTCGGAGCGAGGCTGATATGATAACATGCTCATGCATTGTTCTGGGGAATCTCGCGCGTGATGATACAGTTTGCGAGGAGCTTGTCAAGACTCATCAAGCTCACGTCAAACTGATTGACATCGTCGAGCGGGAAAAGAGCAAAGCGAGCGTGGCGTACTCAGCTCTTGGGTTTTTGAAGAACCTCGCTGTCCCAATAAACAATCGCGAGCTTCTAGGATCTGCTGGCCTGTTTCGAGCGTCATCCTTATTTTGGAAATTTGCATCCCTTCCGCAATTGCAGATGACTGCGATCTCCGGCACTCGATTGGCTATTGCTAACTGCTTTCAGAATACTACGAGAATGTTTGGCCCATCCGAATCGGAAAAGGAGAAAACTTATATTTCTCTGCTCCTCGAGGTGCGCAATACCACTGACCAAAAGCCTGTGAAAATCGAAACTGCTCGTGCAGTGGCGGCCATCATTCGCAATATTGGGTTGCAGAAGGGCACACCTCAGGCTGACGAGGCAACAGAGCTAGCCGACCGACTTTTGATATCGCATAATGACCTTGATTCACCCATTTCATGCCTGCTGGAGAATAGGGAGAGCAGCTTAATTCAAGGAGAAGGCGTCATTGCTTTGACCATGCTGGCACAAAGCAGGGAGGGTGCCAAAATTGCTGCTACCTGCTTAAATAGGGAAGCTGTCTTCAACGCTCTACGCGACATAATGGAGAATCCTATCGACGATGCGTTGAACGTCAATGAAAAGAAATCCAAGACATCAAACAGAGCAAATTGCACCTTGCTGTACCATTATCTTACGCAAATGAAGGTACGTTGAATTGTTGATAGGGACTTGTCGGTTGTTTCGATTACGACAGCTAACTGGACATCTGAATGTAGCCCGAAAATTTAGATCCGGAAACGCTTAAATCATTTGAAACTATGGGAAAGCAGGCTGCATTATCAATGCAATCCAATGTGATACACTCCTCTTGAAGTGATCGAAACAGGGAACCCATTGCGTGGTTGCAGGATGGCACCAGTACTAAAGACACAACGCCAACGTCGTCTAAAGGCGAATCCAAAACACACAAAGAAAGGGTATCGGCGCTATCTTCTAAATATATACATGAGCTTGTCATGACCTGGCGGATCGGACATCAATTGCGATCAAAATCTCGCTCAGCTCTCTGAGTACTTCTTTTTCAGTTTCTTTTCTGTCTTCATGAACTCTGCTATTCCCACTGGAATTTGCCCGTATATATCTACATCGCCGTCTGTCGTCAAATCTGCATCGTAGTTTGAAATGCTTCCACCGCCGTCGTCGTCCATGCTTCTTGACGGGCTTTCTGCAGCCAGTTGCCTATTTGGCGCTTCCGACTTCTCCGTTCCCTCCGGCCCTTTGTGTTTGGCCTTCTTCACTTGGTTGGCCCAATCCTCCAGGTCGTCGCGGTAGTTATCCCACACACAATTGATGCAGCCAGACATGCAACAATTGTCCGGCTCAACTGGCCTGGGGGGCACTTTCACGCCATTGATTGTCCGATATGACTCTTCTGCCGCGTCACTTGGACGGTAGCGAGTAGACGTATAGCCTGGGCTTGCAAGACGAGATCCGAATATGATACGAACTTTATCCGTTGGCGACACCTCGCTCTGATCATCATCGATGTTGTCTTGTAGCTCTTCTGGCGTCGCGGTCTTATGCGTTCTGGGGGCCTGCCTGACGGGGCTTATCAGAGTATAGTAGCCATGAAGCGGATATGCCTGATCAAGGGACTTCGAGTCGCGACCATGGTATGAAGATGCGAAGCGATATCGCTGCGGCGCATCACGACATGCGACGGGGTTGCGAGTACGGCCCAATGGATTTGCTGCTGCCGGCGTCGTCGCTGTTCGGAAGACTTCATGCCACTGACAATGGGCAATGGCTGTGCATCGAGAAGAGCGCCGGCCAATATGGCGAGCACATAACTCCATCGCGAGAGTCGGATGCGACCTATTTCTGTGCCCGAGCGTTGTTCAAGCCCGAGTCCGAAAGAACGCTCGACGACAACCCGGGATATATCCATCCAGGAGCTGAGTGATTGAATGCCGTGCAGGGGTCGGTCCATGACGTAGCCGAGACGTCACCGCCGACGCGCCCGGTCAACGTAGCCATGAGCCGCGATACACACGGACATTTTGTTTCTGTTGTTGATGGTTCGCGCAGAACGAACAACAACCGCCTGCCTCGAGACGATCGTCCAGGCTTCAGCAAGAAACCGCATCTAACCTCTGTCATATCGACAAGTTCCTGCGACTGTTCACTCTGACAACGATCAGAATGATCTCGCAATATGAAGAGCCCGAGCGCAGGAGCACACCCAAGGGAAGCGCGCTGGCGAAGCTGATGCGCAGGACTGTACCAGAAGATATCTCTCGGGATCCTGTCCTCAGAAGTACCAGTTTGCGGAATCGACCAGCGCGTGCGCAAAGACAGCCAGAGATATCCATTCAGCAGCAGCCTGAAGCCAGCATATTACAACCACCGTCAAGGGACAGTTCAGATTACGACTCTGACGGCGAGCCGAAATTGCCACCGCCATCAATCGGGCGTGAACTGCCCACTGACTTCAAGCTAAGATTTTGGGATAAAAGTCCTAATCAAGCTCCCTCAACTGGGAAGAAAAGAAAACCATCGCGGGAGACGATTGAGACATACTTCCCGAGACATCAAATGCCTAAACGAGTCATAGGACAGCCAATTGACAATCCCAACATCATCGAAGATCCTGAATTCGTCCAACAACCAGACCGCCGCGAAAAACTGAAGCTCTGTGGAGCACTAGAAGCTCAGCTGTCACGTCTCCAGGATGACATGCGGCAGCTCGAGCAAACGCTCAAGGATCTTCAGTCAACGGGGGACAATGCTCAGTTTGACGACAGCCGTCTACAAAAACTACTGTATGTCAAAGCCCTTCTTAGTTGCTGATATGTACTGACTGTATTCACAAGCCCGCTGCTTGCAACAGACAACCCCTCCTGCTCACTTTCACACGTTGACCAGAAGCGACCACCATTGGATAGTCTGTTGTCTTCTCTCCTACCATTTTCAGCATTGCAACATGCTCCTGAGCCCATCGATGAAGCAGACGAAGATGAAGAAGAAGAGGCAGAAGACCAAGGACGGCCACAAAATCGAAGAAGCTATCTCAACCTGTTTGCACCACTGTCATTGTCTATTGACAACAAATCTTCCGCCTCAAATAACATAGAACATTCCGGGTCAGACTTGCGCATGGACATAATACATCGAACCGACTTGATACTGTCTGCGCCACAACCATTCGGGGCTCGCGTGTTTCAAGTGGCCCTATCCATTGCGATTGACATCATTAAACAACGTGTCCTTTCAATCACTGTGCCACCCGCACAACCCATGCCTTTAGCCCTCCGGGAATGGATAGAAGCACGCCTTTCTAATGTACTTTTCGAACGAGATATATCAGGTTTATGCTGGGGCATTTGCCAGTATTGGGAAGCGACGATTCGGCGGGCAGAGCTATGGTCGCGGCTTGACAGATGGCATGCCTCAATATCAAAAGATATATCAGACTCACAAACCAGTTCTGCAAGCATTGACTCCCCGCGTCCAACTTTCAATCTCAACCGTTCCTGCTTCTCCGTCCGTGCAGGTAAACCAGGGCACAGTGCAGTTCACATTTTGACTACATGTGAGATACACCTTGACTCGTGGACCGGCGAGACGCGTTTGAAACCAAACCTATCTATCTTGAAGGAAGGATCCAATGCGCGAAGCATCGAGAACGCCAGCAGCATGGTTTTCAAAAGTCTTTTGCAACAGGATCAGATACTAGATGTCTCTGACATTGCCACATCGGTTGAAATTGTATCCTCGACTGTTCAGAATATTTGATACTTATCATTCCAGCATACGAGCCAGCTCTCAGCAATGAATCTTGTCCAATTCTCCTTGCTGAGATGTCACCTCTTTTACAAAATGGTCAGATTGCTGGGTCTAACAAAAAGTCAAATGCTTCAGTCGTGTGGTCTAATGGTTATGATTTCTCGTTCACATCAAGTTGAACACTTCAAGTTACCGAGAAGGTTCCCGGTTCGATCCCGGGCACGACTACTTTTTTTCTTTCCTCATTTCTCACCTTGAATCGAATGCGCGTGCAGTTGCTATGCTAAACGGGCCTTGGGGACCTTGAACTGCTGCATGTTTTAAGGTTCTACAATTCTTCTAGTAAAACTTGCGCTTTGTTCTAGGGCGTCTTTTTTCTTCCAACGCGCTGATCACATGTACGTTCCTTATTTCACGAAAACAACTCAAAGTTTCGGCACGAACGCCCGTCTCGTTTACGGCTCGTAAATGCCTCGTTTCCTCATTGCTATGTACGCCTATGCCACCAGATATAGAAGATCCAGATCGCCGATTTCCATGAGCCATATCGTGAAGAAAAACTTCCGTCAAGGCTAGCGCGAGCCTGCCTTGCCCGGGGAGAAAAGGTCTGATGAGAGAGAAAACTGCAACCGCGAGGAAGAGAGTTGTGAAATGAGGCGATCACGTTCGGATATTAGAGGAGACACGCATGACAGATTTTGTTGACAGAGGACTTCAGACGAGAAAAGACAGAATGCAGCTAGATATTTTATTTCTTAGCAGCCTCGGCCTCTTCAGCCTTAGCCTTGGCGCGCTTCTCACGGGCACCGAAGTTACGGGCGTCAGAGCGAGCATCCCGCAATGTGCGGAAAGCAGACTTCTCGCGGGCGGAGATATCGCCCTTGGGCACGGCGGTGATGGACTCCGCGGCTGTGGGGTTGGAGACGGGGAAGGCAGCGCTGACGTTCTTGATACCACCGGCGGCGGCGGCCTTGACCTCCTCTGGTGTGGAGTCAAGCTTCTTGTATTGACCGGCCTTGCGGGGGAAGAGAATCAAGCGGCTCTTGTAGGCCTGGAGACGAGCGCTTAAACAAACATGAAGCCAGCACGAGATCAAATATTGACGTACCTCTTTCCTGAATCCGCGTTGACCTACGTGCTTCGCTTGGTTTGCTTTTTGATGAGGTAAAAGTGCCCCTCCCACGAGCGGGGGTAGGGCCGGACTTAGGCATGCTGTCGTTCGGCGAAGAACTAGGCTGTTCCGGCCCAAGAGGTCGAGTTTCCTCGTTTGGTGCGTTTCTCGCCCCTCCCCGCCCAGACGGTTGAGCAGATTGGCGGCTTTGCTCTGCAGCAGGCTTGCGAGGCTGTCGTTCCTTCATTGGCACCACGGTTAATGACGGCTGGAGAAAAAAGGAGTGGTGCTGTAACGGCAGTTGTGAATACGGCTTGTATTCAGGCGATATCTGCAGCCCCGGTTCGTTCGCTTGGGTGCTGCTGTTACTGCCGCTTGTCGGGTTCGATATCGATGTCCACCTTGTTGCTGTGCAGTTTCTCGTGCTTGTACTTGTGCTTTCTCTTGATCTATATTGCAAATCAAAGGCATACTCGGACGATGTTGTGGCGATGAAAGATGACTGCGAAGGATGGTAGGAAGGCGGCGATAATGAACCTCGCGACGACACAGTGTGTCCGTGGCGGAAGCCAAATTCATGAGAGTTCTGGTGGCCATGATGCAGAGGATGGTTTGGTGAAGGTATGGTAGCTCCTCGACAACCTTGAGTTGATGGAGGAGGAAGAGAGGGAGGGTTGATATAGATGTTTGAAGCTCTTGGTGGCGGCTGTGGCAGTGGTACCCAATGATGGGGTAGTTCCCCTGGACATGACATGGTGGATGAGGTGTGATTATGTGAGCTGATATGCTGCTCTTTGGATGCAATGGCTTGTCCAATGAGCTGCTGTTGTGGACAAGCCAATGGATTCGCGGTTGAAGGATAGTAGTAGTAGCCGGGGAAAGACATGGATATGCGCTCAACAAGCATCAACTCGTTGGTGGATCCAGAGATAAGAGTGGACTTGACTGTTTCAGCAGGCGACTTTCGAAGCTCTGCTATTCTTCAATGCCTGGCTGCTCACCTCGGTTGTTGGGTGTATCTATGCGATTGATCGTGGATACACTTGGTGGATATGGCGCTATGCCGAATTACAAAATCGATGCAATGCAAAGTCTGGTACCGTCCGGGGAGCAAAACAAATGAGCAGCAACAGTATGCCGGGGTCAATCGAGATACGGTGTAGCAACCTGTAGCTAGGGACGCCGCACACAAGGGCTGCAAGTAGCCGAGTAAGCTTTCAAAAGTGCTATGTTCTTCTGGTGAGAATCGTTATAGCGGAGCAGTTGCCGGATTTCAGGGACAAGCAACGGTAGACAGCCAAACAGGGTTTGGGTATAGCTAGAAAGAGGTTTGGTGGCGACAGCTTTTTTTGAATCCCGGGATGGAGATGATGATGATCGAGAAACGGTATACAAAGAACTAAACAAGTGGCGACAAGAAGTCTGATTTAAGGGCATGGAACTGGATGGTTGAGAAGTCTATATGTATGCGGCCTATCATGTATGTATGTACTGTAGTATGTACAGGATCTAGGAGGAAAATGTGAGGTGAGGTGGATTTCGATGTTGCAAAAAGGAGGATGATTGAGAAAAAAATCTGAACTATGTATTTTGCAGTGTACATTTGGCCCGCACACATGGACAATTTGCAGATCTGATTTACATATTTTTAGTCCTCGCGTTTTCACCTCCTTTTGGGATGCACCTACTCCGTACATCGATCCTCATCGCCGAAAAGAAGCAGAGAAGTACGGAGTAGAGAGAGTCAGAAAAAGAAGAAGACGTCTGCGTCAGCTGAGATGCGTCTGCCTGTTCTTTCACCTGTCAGCTTGCTTTCTTATTTGTAAATTCTTTTATTTCCTTTATTTTAGGAGTTTCAACGGTGGTTCGGGTGGGTGTAAGGGGGAGACGTAGGAAGACGGATACAGCCGAGAGAAATTGATTGAGCGAGGCGAAAGGGAGGCTTGGAACAGAGACAGATCAGTCACCGTCGCATCGTTCTTGGCTGCACTTGGCTCCATATCATCCCTTTTCTTCCCGTTCTGTCTCATCTCTCAGCTACACTACAGACGGCTATTCTGTATCCTACTTTCTGCCCAGTTTCTTGTCCATCTGACTTACTCCAGTAGGGACAGAAGCAGTGAGATCATATTTGCAAATGACAGATTGCTGTAACTGGGCAAGGCCAGGCTTATTTTCTCTGCGCCTCTAGTTCTGTCTTGTCCATTTGTGGTTCAATAAGACGAGCGTTGCATTTCATTCTTCCTTTCGTTCCCCCTCCACGGTGGCCGTAACTGCTAGATTTACACTGTCCGTACCTCACTTGTTTTGATCTCTATCCTTATTTTATTCTTTAAATCCAATTTCTATAGCCATCGGTAGTATAGCAGTTGTTTTTCACTTCTGCTCTTCTGTCCCGTCATCCGATAGACTAGAGAAATTATAGACACTAGATGGTCAAGAAATCAAGCGTGAACAGTTTAGTTGGGATCCGTTCACCGTCTATCAAGGTGATTTCACACAGCTATTCGAGGCGCCGACGCCGTTGGTATTTTCTTCTTTTTTGTAGCTTTCTCCTTACTCTCTGCTTTAGAGCAAAGAGACTGTTTTTTTTTCCTTCACGTTCCTTGTTGAAGCAAAAGACCATGAAAACTGGCGATTTTTGCCTCTCGGCTTCGGCATCGGCACCGGCATTCATGACGCTGCGCCTCAAACAAGAACAAAAGATTTCAGACATCCAAGCAAATGTGAGTGAAGGTGGAGTGTGGCTGTCTCTTAGGCGACACGGGTACTCTCATACATTCCCTGTCCCCAAACAACAACAACAGCAACAACAATGTTCAAAAAATCCACGAGGACATTAGAGGAATCCGTGATTCGCAATCGGGCGCAGTACTGCCGACCGGGAAGAGCCACTAAAAAAGAACGCTAATGCAGGATCACCATTGCTTATTTCGAGCGAAATTTGATCTCTCCCTTGCTTCCTTGTGGGTATCCCTTTCGCTCCAAATTTCTCGACGAATTTTGCTTCGGCCGAGGTCATATTGGGCACTGATTACATATCCGGGTCTTATGCAAGATAATCTGACTTGTTGTGTGTAAGGGGAGGAGAAGCCGGAACAGAACTGCCTTACTCTGTGTGCTCTATCTGCCACGATCTTCTTATGAAAAGGAAATATCGCGGTCAACCGTCTTGTAATGGCTCTAACATAGTCTCATTGTACTGAAAATTTCCTCAACACCACTATAAACGTTGTCTTATCACCTCCTTTCCCACCCCCTCATGAGCCCCAAACCAGTCAATCTCTAGTTCCATGAAGCAATGATGCCCAACCGGAACGGCCCGTGTGCGGAGTGTGAGAAAGGACCGTTACACTGAGAGAAAGTAGAAGAGGAAAGAAAAGAAAAGGAAGAAAAACCAAGTGATGTGTTCGGAGTTCGAGGCTAAAACTGTCAACGCAAGTGCCTACCTGTCCGCCTGTCTTGACTGTGCCTTGTTCTCTTTTCTTTTTCTTCTTTCTTTTTTGCTATGTTCGAGGTAGTATGTACTACGTGTAAACATTGCATAACGGACTTGCCTTAACAGGCAGACAGGGTACGTAGCATGACCGCTTTGCAAACAGGATTCAGAAGTGAACACGCAGGCCCTTGGAGGCGGAATGTATCTCTATCGGCTTGCCGAGCATGTGGGCGGCCTGTTCTTCAGTTGACAGGAGCAAATTACCCTTTCCGTATTACCGTCAACCAAGTGGTCGTAAATAAGCACTCGGCTAAGGGAACATCGAGTGTGTGAGGAGGAGCAATTGTTACCGACTCCGCCACCCAAGCCACTCCTTGTAGATGCTCCGCCGAGGTAAAAGTTTGGTTGGAAGTCAGTTTCCCCAGGTTGTCTCTTCTTGTCTTCTGGTTCCACCTCGTCCCAAGATCAAGAAAAATCCCGACCCGGGTACATACTCAACTGATAAACGGCCTTTATCTTCTGCCTTTTCCTGTGTTTTAGCGGTCGATCTACGGATGTACACGTTAATGCGGGCACAAGCAGAAAGGAGGCAAGAATTGAAATAGAACTTTGGGATGCGGTAACAGGGGCTGTTGTCTATGAATTCTCTGATCATGTCTCGTCTTGTCGTCGATAGCT